TGAATGGGAGTGATAAAGGCAAATAACAACTTATTATTAGTAGGAAAAATCTCTTGACCCCATGGATCACCAGAAAGGGTTTCAAGAACCCCCAGGAGTCTTTGGATCACACTTCGAGAACCACTATTTTCAACCATATGAATGTTAGCTACTATGGGATTTTTTTTGTCTAAACACTTTGGTATCAGGTAGAACATTTAGTGGGAAGTGGAACAAGACAGAGACAATGTATAGACTAGACCAATCTTACAAATGTGAGTATTCTTTATTTTTCAGAAGCATAGGGTAAGTTAGCAGAATTTGGGGTCATAACTGAGAACAACTACATTCTACATTAGAAATCAGTCCACCAATTCAATTATTTTTGTCTTTCAGGCTGCTGTGCAAGACGGTTCCTGTCACATGAATATATAATAACACTAAAGTGGTTTTATATTCCCTGTACAAATTAATATTAAGACTCTAATAAAATTTGAAGTAAAAATTCTTTTCATAGCATGTATTCAATGCCTTCTATGTGCAAGGCTTATTATAGGTGCTGAGCTCATAAATATTTATAAACACAGCTCCTGGCCTTGAGCAACATTTTTTTTCAATTTTTAATTTTTACTTATTTTATTATTTTTTTTAGTTGGGGAACAGTGTGTTTTCCCAGGACATATCAACTCCAAGTCAAGTAGTTGTTTCAATCCAGTTGTGGAGGGCTCATCTCAGTAGCCCATGTGGGGATCGAACCGGAAACTTTGGTATTAAGAACACCGCGCTCTAACCAACTGAGCTAACCAGCCACCCCCCTTGATCGACTTTTATGTCTAAAGAGACTTATACCTGGTAGAAATATATATTTTGCCATGTTCAGTAATCCCCAATCCAGTATGACTATTATGTCTCAGAATTATCTAGGGGAGATTTTAAAAATACAGATTCCTAGATTGTGAGACATACTGTTGAAGTGGACCAAGGTGGTGCTCAGATATTTAGATTTTTAAAAAGTGACCCAGGGCCGGCCAAGTGGCATGTTGGTTAAGAGCTGGCTTGGG